AGAGGAGGAGGACGTGTTAGGCACCTTAGAAAGAGGGCAGAGAGCGAGGTGGCGTGGGGGGGGGGCAGAGGGCCAGGCTCAGTCCTGGAGGAGGCTTTCCTCCGACGTCCAGCCCGGCGAGGGCAGCGGCTGCTGGCGTCTGGAGTACTTCAGCTGCAGCAGGTCGCCCACCTCGCTTATGGCCTCCAGTGCCTGAGAGGGCGACAAGAAGATTGATCTGAATCTAAATCCACATCGACTCCAGTCGAAATCAAGTACAAAAAAGGCTAATTTTGGGGTCGCGGGGCTAAAACTAAAAGGTGAACGGAAGGCTCAGTGTAGAAACCGCAACTGAACAGAACCCCTTTCCACCATTTTCCAGCAGGCTGCATCAGCTCTGCAGCACACTGCGGGGCACCTGGAAACAATTTACCTTCCCTCTCGACCTTTTTTTCCCCCCCTTCTTTTTCCTTTTTTTCCCTTCCCGATTCCATGGCATGAGAAACAGCGAGGGCTAGCTTTTCCAAAGACGGAAAAAAGCGGCTCCTCCATGTGCTCTACAAAGCGGGCTGATGCCCTTTAAATGGATTATTACCAGCGGCGCTGACATGCTCCACGCTAAGATGAATGAAGTGTCTTTGGAGGAGCCGAGCAACTTGAATAAAAGTCAAAGCCCGGGCCATGCTGTAATCTTTAAAGACAGCTTGGCCTTCGAGGTCCCTTAATAAAACACATACTGGAAGCTTGTATTAGTCAGCAGGTACACACACACACGCGGGATATAAAAGGGAACAGAAAGCAGCCGCCTGGCCGGCCAGCATGGCAGGTGATCCCAGCAGTTGGATCCATGATCACTCAATCACGTGCGGGATCAAAGAAAACCTCCACTAGAGAAACCGGCCTGTGCAGAAATGACATCCCACAAATCCGACCCGGCCTGGAGCGGAGGGGGAGAACTCACCGTGTCCAGCATCTCTCTGGTGTGAGCGGCGGAGACGCAGAAGCGCGCTCTGGACTCGATGATGGGCGTCGCCGGGAAGCCGACGACCACTGTGCCGATGTTCCTCTTCAGCATCTCTCTGCCGAAGGCCCTGAGGAGCAGAGGGAGCGGTCAGACAGGAAGCGCAGAAGCAGCCGAGCCCGTGATATTTAGAAGAAAGACAAAAAAATAAACCAAAAAGAGCTGAGGTGGCCTACCCGATCTTGGCGGGCATGTAGAGCATCATGGGTACGACCGGGGAGTCGTCGTTGCCGTAAATGATGAAGCCCATGTCTTGGAGTTTCCTCCGGAAATAAGTGGTGTTCTCCGAGAGCTGCCTGAGGCGGTCGGCACCTGGAAGAGTTGAGAGCCGGCTTCATTTTCCCCGTCGGACACACCGTCACATCCCGCTGGAGTCGGGACCGGTGAGCATCACCGAGGCCAAATGTGTCCCATTTGAATCAGATTCTACCTTTTTTTTGGGCTCCATTTGAACTACAGAACTCCAAAAACGACACACACCCTCAAAAGAGAAAAAAATCCACAAACAGTGTGAGATCTTAAGCTCTGTGGTAGACTTATTGGGAATCTGAGGGGAAACAACATTCTTTCAGCTGGAGGTCAAAAGGCCAAAACTAAACAGACATTGATAGCCGCGTGTCGGCCTGATGTGCTTTCAGGGCCCAGCCCGCGGAGTCAGCGTCTTAACCAAACAATCAGCCATGTGGCAGACGTGCCACAAGCAGCAACCCACAGGTACTGCTGGCTCTGACCGGCTGGCTTAAAGATGTTCAGCTTCTGGGCTTGACGATGGATTCGTTTGTGCTCTTTTGTCCCTTCTATGTGTTCAAAATGGAGGCTTCCGATCAGAGGCTGACCGGCGTCCTCCTGGAGAAGCAGACTGGGCAGCTGTCACTTGGACTTTGTGTCAGCGTCTGACTCTTCAAAGGCTTGAATTGCAAACAGTGACAGGGCTGCAACCAATCAGACCGTCTCCGTTACTCTTCTAGGAGGAAAACCTATCACCCCACCCCCTGCTGCAAGGGCAGCTCGTCCGGTTGCTCTTCTCAGAAGTGATATGGAAGAAGAGCTGATGGGCACAGCAACAAAGCCTATGCCATCATCCAGGTTAGTCCTGGAGTTATTATTCCAGGCCGGCAACAGAGTGGCTGGGAGGTGGTGTAACCCGATCTGAGCTACGGCCTTCTCGGGGAGGCTGAATCAATCCAGCTCTGCGCAGAGCAAAGAGGTGCCGCCCCTCAAAGAATAACAAGCCCGTGTTGTGTTTTTTCTGTGTGTGTGCGCGGGGAAGAGTCCAGCCGTGCTGGGTGTGCACAGATCTCTGGTCGGAGGCACCACGCTGCTCTTCGCCCACGGCGAGGAGGCAAAGAAACACGCTCGCAGGAACATGTGAAAGTGATAAAAGGGAGTCTGTAGAAGCTTTTCCATCTGTCCAGCCTACACCAGACGCATCTAAAAGGGCCGATCCTTTAAAAAAAAGTAAATAAATGAATAAAACTTCTGAGGAAGATTTCAAGACAGGAAGGGGCTTCTAAAGAAGCCCTAACGCGTGAAACTGAAAGTCTGTCACATTGCACACTGGCAAATAAAGAAAAAAAAATCATAGAAAACAGAGACACTAAAGCACAGGAGCCCCCCCCCCAAAAGCCAAAAAACATACAAAACAAAAAAAAATCACAGCTTAAAGAAGCAGATTTCTGTCCTATGGAAACTCAGTAGTGGATCTATACTGCCACCTTGTGGTTATACTAAATACAGACGACAAAGACAAAAAAAAAAGATAGGAAAAAAAACTGCACAGACATTAAAATGCTTCAAACTTGACCTGACGCTGGATATTTTAAATCTGAAAACACTGAGCAGAGGGATAGAAGTGGTGGCTGCCCCCCGCCCCCGCACTGCTCAGGCCTTCCGATGGAAGAACAAGCTGGCCATTGATTTTCTGACGTAATGTGCCTTTGTGTTGCGTTTCGTGGCACCCACCCAACGAGGTCCCATCCTCTCCCATGATGATCTTCATGGAGGTGATTATCTGCTGAACCACGGGGGGGGACATGGAGGTGGCGTACAGGGCACTGTGAGAGTGGCGGCGGAGGTAGTCGATCAGCTCCTGGCAGAGACATGACAACAACGTTACCGCCTCATTCAAACAAAAGCATCCACCTGTCGGCCACATAATCTGAACTACCAATTTATAAACTAAAATACTGAGCATAGGAGGGTAGAGAAATTAGAAAATAAAGACTTCTGTTTTTCTTTAGTTCTATTTGGGCAGCTGACTTTCCCTCTGACTCTGAATCTGACCCTTTTCAGGAAAACAGGAAGCTGGTCATCACATTGCTGGTTCATTGTGTTGCCCGACAGCTTCCAAGAAGAGGGAAATTGCTCAAGCCCCTGAGGATGAGTGGGTGCCCTCAAAATAGTAACCGGTCGCCCTCACTACTTCTACAACAAAAGCGGGAAAAGGTTTCACATTCTAGTGTCCGTCAGCTTTTCAAAGTGCCCTCGCTTTACTGACCTTCTTGCCCCCGATGTATCCGCCTGCAGCCCCGAAGCTCTTGGTGAACGTTCCCATCATGATGTCGACGTCTTTGGGATCCAGGCCAAAGTAATCCACCACGCCTTTGCCATTGCACCCCAGAGCGCCGATACTATGAGCTTCATCCAAGTACAGGTAGGCTTTGTAGCGCTTCTTCAGAGCTATCACCTCAGGTAGTCGCACAATGGACCCCTCCATACTGTGGGATTTAAGCAAAAGAAGGGAGAAGCGACTAAAATAAACAGATCACTTAGCGCCCATGTCATCTTTCAGGCTTAAATAATTCATTACACCCATTTAGCCGCAGTGATCGGACTTGTACATCACTAAGGTGCCATATTGAGGCAAGAATACCTTCCTACATTTGTTCAATGAACTAAGATAGCATTTGTCCTCAAAAGAACATTCTCGAAAAAAAACATTTTTTTTAAAATCTGCCTGCTGTGTAAATATTCTCACACTGAACTACAACGTGATGGAATGTCACATCAGCCGGGCTGTAAAGGTGTTTCACCGTTTTACTGCTAATGAGTTTGCCGTTACAGCAGAGACAGAGTGTCCTTCCCCATCGTTAATAAAATAAAAAAAGAATGAAAAAAAACCCAAACGTAGCACTACATCAGCAGTGTGGACTGAATGTCCTCAGTGAAACCTACTGAGATGACAAAGGCAATGCCAGGGAACGGCTCATTGTTTCACAACATCAACCGCCTTGAAACTAGTTTTTCCTTGTAAAAAAAAAAGCAACTTAAAACCCAAACTTTAAAAGCTAATTTATAACACGAAAAACAAAGAACTCTTAATGAAATTAAGATACGAGTTCTCTCCGTTTGTTTGTGGAAGATAAAAGAATAGCCTACAAACCTGTAGATGCCCTCCACCACGATGAGGATTTTCTTCCAGGGTCTGTGAGTTCTGGGCTGCCCGTGAACTATGGCATCTCTCAGCAGCTTCTCAAGGCTCTGCATGTCTGCAGCACATTTTGCAAATAAAAGATAGCCTCATTTCATATTTTTTGGGGGAAAAAAACAAACAACAAAAACAAGAAAAAACATCCTTGATCCAAAAGAGAATAACCTCCTTTGTAACACGAGAGCTTGCTCTCATTTATGAAAGAATGTCAATATTTCATAATCATAGCACTTTGGGCAGCTTGGTTACATGGTGCTCTTTATTTCTAAAGTGTACATGGCCTGATGTTTGGTGGCCGTGTTCCGTGTGTGGCACCGCACCCACAAATGTGTGATTCAGAGCAGGCGAAAAAATAAAAAGAAGAAAATCTAGACCTGTGTAACACGAGTAAACAGGCTCAATAGACGGCTTGAATTGTGCAAACGCATCGTGCTGCAACATGTGCACGCCTTTGCCAAACGCACAGATCTTTCACTCCTGCAAAGCCTATTAGAACGTCAAAGGCAGCCTTTTAATACCAACTGTTCTTTTTTCTTAAAAAAGAGGGAACAGGTAGGTCACCCACTATTGTGCTTGAAGACTCGAATTGTGGACCCCGACAGCCGAGCACCCAGCACCAGTGACGCATGATTCAGCTCGTCGCTCAGGATGAGGCAGCCCTACAACAGGGAGAAGGCAGAAAGACGCGATTTCCAGATCAAACTGCGTTTTCTCATGCTATGCTGGGAGATCTCAGCGCCGACAAGTGGGAGACGCCTTGTTACTTCTTTAGAGCTTCATATTGCAAATCAGTTTTTAAAAGCAGAGCTCTAGTGTTGAGTAATTACTTTGCTTATTCACCTTCTGGTAAGACTGATTACAAATGGGAAGATTATTATTAATTCAAAAGAGTTCTTGAAGCTCTCTGCTTTAAAAAAAACATAACATCAATTTCTATTAACTATATATATATATGGTTAATAGAAATTGATCTATATGAGAGAGAGAATACGGTACAGGTACAGTTTTTAACCTCACTGTTTGACAAACAGCACTTTTTGAATGCATTGAGAAACAATGCTCCATTGTAATGTGTGACACCAATGTCAATATAAGCTGTGAACTGGAATAACCTGTATGGAATTTAAAAACATTTTTTTTAAATAATGTAATGCCCGCTTTTACAGACAAAAATTAATCAAACTATCTCACTTGTTAAAAAAGGAAGGACCAAAGAAAAGAGGAGCTTGTTACACAACTTGGTGTTAAGAGATGAGATCATAAACATGCGAGTGGTCAGGGAAATGATCTGTTGCTGTATTTTCTGTTTCCATTATTGGTCAGTGTCTGTTGTCAGAAAAACTGTTGGCTGACTCACAACGTTTACAGACACACGTCTGTCAGCTCAAATTCCTGTGTCCTGTTGAAGAAACGTTGGCTGTGAAAGAAAAAGGGCACACGAGCGTAGTTCTGAGTGACCTGCATGGGAGAACAGTGCCTGGGACTAGTGGAATATCACTCTCCAGTACACTCCAAAGAATGTTTTGAAAGCTTGTACCGGATGCTAGCAAGCTGGAGAACAGCCAGAACCCTTCAAAGTTTGATCACACATCTGAAGAAAAGAAGAAAAAAAAGTGTACCTCCTGTTTTTTTGCCTTTATGCAGGAAGAGGCATTTGTTTTTCTTCACCACTAAGTGTTAATGGGTACAGACGCTGGGACGAGAACAGGAACACAACGCAGATTAAGACGCAAATTCCCCACCTTTCCAGTGAGAGCAGGAATGTTCATGGAGTTTGTCGCAAAGCCCATGCCGAAGACCATGGACGACTCGACCCCCAGAAATCTGGCCACCAGCTGCTCCAAATCCTCATGGATGTCCAGGTTCCCTGAAAATTACAGCATTACTCCTGTTTCCCCTCTGTGCTCCACTGCCTACAAGTTTTCCTTATCAGAAATATGCTTAACATTTTCTTTACTTGTCCCAGTTGAACAATGAAGTCTGTTTGCTTTCCTTTTAGCTAAATACACCGCTAAGTCCTGCTTTTCTTTAGCTTGAGAATAATAAAAAAAGAACTTATGTAACAAATGAGCTGAGGCAGCAAACCATTTGTGACCCAAGTACAAAAAAACACTTAACTTTCAGACCCTTCAGATTATGAGATTTTTATGCCACTCGTTCATTTCTTTACGACTTAACTCTTCAATAAAGCGCAGCTCTTTAAGCGGCATAAAACTTTTCACTCCAAACCGATTGGATTAGTCCTGAGAAGCCTTACCCATCTCGCAGCGGGTGCTTCCCACTCCAGCTCCGTAGACCTGCGTGGTTTGGATGGCAGCGTCGGCGCAGGTCCCGGTGTTCTCGGCAAAGCCCAGGTAGTTGTACGAGCCCATGTTGATAACGTTCTTCACCACTTTACCTGTGTGCCTGAGAGTAAGCAGAAAAAAAAAAAAAAAAAAGAGATGGAAAATTGCTGCGTTGGCTCTGCGTTAAGGTGAGTAATTATCCTCCGTCGCCGTCAGTCCCGGCCGCTTGGGAGCGCCCTCGTTTACAGCTCTGATTGTGGACTGAACAGTTCATTAACTGATGGTGGTATGAACAGTTCATTGTAGGGATGGGCCATCAGCTGGCATGGGGCTTACTACACACACACCAATGGGATCAAAAGGAAATAATGAGAGACTCAGCAGTTTGTCTACAGAAACATTGCTGAAGTCTGTTCCCTCTCTTTAGCTGGACTAAGTGGTTAATACAACCATGGAGTGAACTTATGCGTAACTCAACCGTTTAGATTTGAAATGTCATTATCTTCAGCAGTCACAGAAGAATAACAACACCGATAATGAACATTTCAGATGTGTGCTGATCAGATTCTACTCTTAGAGGGGGACGATCTGTTTAAAAGCGTCTTATCATGCTTTGTTTGTTATGAACGATGTTTCCGTTGCAGGTCATCTGACAGATAACGGCGCTTTGGGATCACAGCTTGCGTCAGCGTTATCGGAGGCACAAGGCCAGTGGATTCAAGGCGCAGTATATGACTGAAGGAAAACGGCACGACACACCAAAATAAACAGGAGCAGAACCCTTCCCCAAGCCCAAGTTCAGCAACACAACAGGGCAGTTTGGATTGGAACAAGTGGAGTAGTAACATTACAGTATGCGTTTGACGTTGCATAATAATGCAAATTCTCATGAAAACACAAAATACAGTAGGGAAGTATAGGTCTGACTGTTGGGAGACTAGGTCTGACAAAAAATACATCAGCGCCAGGTGCTGCATGTAAACAAATGAGAGCCAACACGGATCGTCAACCACGAGGCAGAAACTTACTCGAATGTCCAGTTGTAGTTGTGAGTCACTCTCTCCACCAAATCCATCTTGGCGCCTGGGACACTGCAGATTGGCCGGTTCCAGTTGTCTCGGATCCTCATGTACAAGTTCCTTGTGTAAAAGTTCTCAAAATCCTGATAGAGAGGAACAAAATCCTGCAGGAAAAAGATAAGATTAGTTCTTTGATGTCTTCTCGATTGCTCAGAATCATATTTGTTTGGTGCAAGCAAGTCCAACGGCTAATGTTGACTGTTTACTCGGGTAAATCGGGCGTGAAAGCAAGTTCAACATAAACACTGACAGCTTGTGGTGGAAAAAGACACTGGGAAACCCAGCAGCTCAGCACAAGTCACAAATACACAATGCTGCACAGCTTTGAACAGAAAACTGCACCTTTGCCTATCAGGTGGCATTTCATGGCACCGCAGATGTGACGCCATCAGGTTTGTTTTGCTCAGCTTTAGTGTGCCAGATTTGTACCTTTTGCTCCTCTCTCTCGCTGGCCACGTGGCACTTCTCGATGCTCCAGTGGCGGAGGAAGTCTCTGAGGTAGCCGAAGATGGTGAGAATGCCGTAGCCCATGTAGGTGAGCACAGCGACCAGCAGGGGAGTCTCCTCAAAGGATTCCAAGAAGGGCTTCTTGTACAAGCTGGAATTATGTTGGAGATTTTGGTTCTGGGGAGGGAAGCAATATACATTGTGATAACATGTTTGTAAAAGCTATAATTACAAATGAAAAGTACATAATTGAATACAGCCTAAAAGCATGAAAAGCAAAGACCAAGTATGGATTTGCTTCATGTGGTTTCACATTGGAAGAAAAAAAAAAAAGAAAAAAAAGGGTAATGGTTTACCAATACCTGAGTTCTGATTACTCATTAAAGCCTCCACCCTTGGGAGTCCAATAAACTGTGTTGGAAACCGTACCGATGCAGTACAAGCCCCAAGCACACACTAAAATATAGCGGGGCTGATTCTTGGAAAGAGTTAAGAAGCCAATATAAAAGGCAAGCAAAGAGCACATGCAGTCACAGGGACCACACAACTCCTGGGGCCCTGTGGGCCCGTAAGCAGTGAAGGAGCCCCCATCCCAGAGCAATGGACTTTTTTTCCAGCTTTATGAATACCAATATTGATCGGGGTTTATGCACCTCTAAGAGTGTGCTCACGCATCAGGGGAGCAGCACTAAACGAAGCGGTGGCATAATTCCACCCTCGGCCTTTTGCTTTCAGTGGACGGCAGTCACTCATTACAGGCTCTGCCCTGCAGCTTAGCAACCGCACCTCATGTGACCGGTCACGCTTCTCTAAGAAATACCTCCGAGCCAGGGAACAGCATTGTGCGTGTGATTAGCATCGGTCGGACTGCTTCCTTCTCTCTAAAAGTTCCAAGAAAGTTTGCAGAAGGACCAGCTGGACTGAAGCAGTTTATGAAGAATGAAAAACACGCGGAAAGGCCCCTATGAACGAGACTGTGGCACAGACACGCCAACCGTCGGTTCCATAGTTTGACTGATTTAATATTTGCTCAGTTTTTCGTACATGTGTACAAACTTAAATTGAGAAAGAGCTTTTCCAGGAGGGCACCGTAAAAAGGTATCCCCGGCTTGCTCAGCAGTTCAATGGACAATGATCATATTACACTGCAAACAAAATAAGAAAAGCTCATGACATAAGCATGAGCTGTGTGGTTCATGTTAGGCAATTAAAAGATAAGCAGAGCTAATAAGTCCTTTTCCCACTGAAAGGTGACGCTGTGCGAGGCTAATTAGTGTTTCTGTAAGAGGGAAGGTCTTTTCCATGCCCTTTCTCTTCCACTTTCCAACCATTTCCCTGCATTTTCCACACAGGTATCATTCCAAATGTGATAAGGAATGATCAATGTTTAAGCTAAGGGACCAAGCCATGGAGAAAAAAAATTATCTTAACTGAGAGCCAGGCTAAATGTAAAATGTTCCCAATGCCAGGTGTCCCTTACAAAGAGGGCATACAGAGGTATGTATACAGCTGGCAACTGGGTGTTCTCCTTTGCCAGCGTTTGGTTAAGCCATCTGAGGGCATTGGATGCCTTACCAAGCGCCAACAATAGTGATAACAAAACACTCCACCAGAAACATTGGCAGCATTCCTTGAAAATAAGATCAGTCACTTACAAGATCAGTTTCGTTCAGGATTTGTTCACAGTAGTTTCATTGACGTGACACAAAACTTCCCAATGTTAAGCAATACCAGGTATCAGTCCATTGTGGCTCCAAATGTTTCATCACAAGTAGAATGAAACTTTTCCTGTCCCTTTTGAGCTTTATATCACATCAACAGGCGGAAGCTTTTATACGGCTTTTGGCCGAGGAAGGAAAGAATTGTTTTGTCAGCCACACAAACTAGATCAGAATGATTAAGTCTGTGTTGGAATCAGAATCTCCACAAGCAGAGCTCTGGAATGTGATGTTCTCTTCCGTGTACAACTTACACAGGGAGGAAGGGGGCGAAGGAAAGATTAAACACAGGCTCCCTCATCTCCACCACCAAATACGCAAATATGTCTGTCTGCATTTGAATCGTTCCTGACAGGACCACACACTTCAAAAGGCCTGGGAACATTTGTAATCCCGAAAAAAATTACACGTGACGGCACCCCTGAGACTTTCCTGCCCGGGGGACACACTACAGTGACACTGGTTTTCTTCAAAAAGCAAAAAGGAGTCAGCAAACAGGGACCTTGTCTTGTTTCAACACACACACACACACACACACACACACACATACATACAAACACACACACACACACAAAACACAGGAAGACAACGGGGTGTAAAGTTACAACAACAACAGAAGTTACCACGACCCGATCAAGTGGCAAGAGCACTAAAAGTTTCCAGGCTTGCAGAGCACATTTAAACAAAAACGACGGCAAAACCGCCATAGCGTTTAGAACAAATAAACCGTTCTTCGGCTGAATGATTAAGAATTCAGTGCCGTTTCGGCGTTACCTTCCACATAGCTATTGTAAATGCAGGCCATGAGAAACGGAGCCCGGTTTCAAACCTAACGTTTCACTTCGCACGTAAACCGCTATTTAAGCTAACCGTACCGGCTACACACATTAATGTTACCCCAGTGTTTGACATCTAGCCGCGCCTCACACATTCCGTATGACGCCGGGAAAACACACCCACTCAAGAATTCGTAACCGTAATATGGACGCAGGAAGTACCGTTTGACAACTCCGAAGCCAATACTGACCAATATCGGCCACAAATGTGTTAAAGCGGAGCTTAGCATAGACGTTTCGAGCCCCCCGCCCCACTCCGACAGTTGACGGTTGGGCCTTACCTTATCCCTGGGGCGCTGATACTTGTGTGGCTGTTTAAACAAGCTGTGGTTTTTCACGTAGCCATTTTTACTGGCGTTTTTTCCGTTCGAGGTCCGCCGGCAGACGTCTCCGTTCAGCAGCTTGGTCGCGGAGCTTTCCGTCATCTTCGTCGGCCTACCACGCCCGGCAAATTCGCGGAGTGAAGTGACACAACTTGTGTAACGTAAAACGTGAAGTCGCCCGTGTGAGGAGGGGAAGACGGATTTTAACGCCCACACCGCAATGTGACCGCTCGAGCCTGGCAAAAGGCCCCGCCCCTTAATGGCTTTATTGACCAATGGAAGGAAGGCGAATTCAAAGATCGTCTACTTAGACCTTAACTAATTCTGTTTACAAAGAAAATTTCCACGGCTTTTCAGAATGAAATAATAATAATGATAATAAATAAACTAATTGAATACACAAATATTCATGTTTCGGTTTCTTTAAGTGTTTCAGTCTGAGTTTCTTGGTTTTAAACCAAAGAAGTTGGGCGTTATTCCGTATAATCGTTAAACCGTCATAAACTATCTATCTAACTAATCTGACGTCATATGATCGCCTGACTAACGCTTTCACGTTTCCTGTCTTGATAAATCCCCCGCTTACACATTTACTTATATGATCACACCATTCCCTGGGTTGTAAGCAGTTGGATGAAAAACAAAACAAAAACAAAAAACGCTAACTACAACGCTGGCCTGAAATGTTGACAAGTGTATTTGTATGATGATTTTTAGTCTGGTACGTTGACAATGGAGTGGTACGAGAGCTCTTAGCGTTTTCCCCTCTCTGCTGGGCGTCAGCTTCCTCCTCTGTGTGGGATCTCCGGAAGCCAAGCCCTCTGCAATAACCCGCAATAACCTTTGCTTTCGCCAGCTGAATAACCTTTTTCCATTGACGTACTGGCGTTCACCTGCGCTGGGAAGAGGCGCAGCAAGGATAAAAGCCATGATATCTCCCAGGAGGAAAATGAAAATGTGGAAGGCTATGACTAACAAGTTGCTGAACAGTCAGTGGCCAAATAGGCCAGGTTCAGGTTCAGGTCCTGCAAAGAGTCTAATAAGTTATTCTAAAAGTACGACGTTTTAAATCTACGAATAAAAAAAAAGCTGAAGTTTAAGTATGATTTCATTTGGGTATTATTTGTTTTGTATTATTTGTCATGACTGTAACACAAAACAGCAATTACACAAAAGATTGAATATTGAATATTCATGTTTCCATTATCATCTACAATGACCCTTAAATAAAAGTAAAACAGATTATGATCTAGCTTCAATATGTTTTATTGAGTAAACACCTCTGGGTGGATAAGACAAGTTTGAGTCAACAGACGTTTGTCATATAAGGCTGTGTTAAATGCTTCATTTTTTATCTGACCGTAACATATTCCCGCAATCTTTGGATTTGGAATCCGGACAGAACTCTTTTGGGTTTATTAGATAATGTTGAGTGCAGTTTGTTCTTTAACATCCTGGCAAATTTTGTGCAATTGCAGTGTTGACATTTCAGGAACACTGATACAGAGGGCACCTGTGCTATGAGAGATTGTGGCAACAATAGAATCTCCTTGAATCAAAGCCAGGATTTTGTGAAGACCTCCAGGTCATACTTCCTGCCATCTTCCTGTTTGACTAATGTGTTCTGGTGAAACGTGCTTGCCGGCACATGCACTGCTCCAAATGTTTGTAAGGCAGCTGTTCCTACTCTTTTTGCATGTGTTTATTCTCTACTGACAGTGGATGCAACCCAAAATTCTTCTCCCTGTTTCCCACTCCTAGATGGCGCTGTTGGTCTGCAGAATGATTAAGCCAAGACCCAGCAAGGGCTATGTTGGTGCAGAGGGTTATAGTTCACTATTGAGTGGAATTGGTTTGCAGCCCTGTGTTTCACTGGTGTCAAATCCATGATTAAGACAATGATGATAACATCAGATGATTCGATCCTCCAATCAACTGCCAACACCCCCTCTCAAGGTTGTAATCTGGAGCATGGGATAATGAAACATCAGTCTGGCTGGCTCATAACAATGCCAATGCTGTTAAACAACCATCCGTTTCAAACCTAAAAGAAAAATAAAGCTGATATGGATCAAGCATTAATAGCATCAACAGGAGGGTTAAAAGGGAAAAGGCTAAATTCTCATTGACACTCACAAAGCAGTGGACTTTAACATTACCTCTAACCCATTCGGATGAGATCGGAAATCATTTTGACTAGAATGGGCAATTTGTGGGTCCACAGGTTGAGTTTTAAAACTTGTTGGCACTCTCATTTTACCTCTTAATAGAGCTGCCTTATTTAATAGATGCCAGTGTTAGAACACATTTCACACGTGGATTTGTGAGACAAAAACCGAGAAAGGACAATTTTTTTCCTTGACATTATGAGCACTTAACAAAATCCCCTTTCCTGTTATAAGAATAATCTTAATACGATGAGCTGATACAAGGGGTGAATTTATGTGTGCAAAATCGGAAATGTGGGTTAGGTAAAAGTCCTGAGAGTTAGAGTATTCATGAAGGGGATTTAGGTTTTGGTAACCACTATATGCATTATCCAAATTGGTACTGCAGTCCCATTCCAGCCTTACAAAATGCTCATGAGCTCTTATGTCCTGGAATACTCTGAATGCAAATGAAAATGGGATAGATGGACTTATATGTGTCTTCACAAGCATTAATGATTTCTGAATGGTTTAATTTCTGAAAATACTTTTTATATACATTATTTTGTATTTGTCGGAGAAGTTATTTCTCCTGCCTTTTACAAAAAGAAACTTTATCCATCCATTGCAACAGATTATACAAATACCAGGCAATGCAGCCCGACATTGGATTTTTTTTCAAAATTGACAGTATAATCGCATTATTTAGTGGGTTTAATGTTCCAGCTGCCAATTGCAGCTCAATTTTTGCACATTTTACCCAAAGGGCAAAGGGGAAGCTGATAATGTTAAAATGGTGCGGGCTGTTTATTCTGATATAAAACATGCAGACTGCCTGACGCAATAAAATTGCTTCCATTTTTAAAAATATTGTCTTCCCTGTCAGTAAAGAATCATTTCTATGAGCAAACAGTAGGGTAGAACTAAATTCGATATCCTGTTGAGTAAGTTCCCCACTGTAACCGATTCACTTGGGAAATGAGGTAGAAACACCCCTGTTCTCTCAGGGCCAAAGCTCAGGTAAGGGCAGGGCTTTAGTGCAACATACGGGTCCACACAGATGACGTGTTTTTCAGGCAAGGTTTTGCCTGTTTCAGTGAGACGGCCTTTATTTCTAAATGCAAGCATTTTTAATCCAGTTGTGCGCGTTCACTAAAACCGATTAAATCCCCGTATTATGCTGGTGTGTTAACCAAATTAGTAGGAGCTCTGAATTGTATGGTTTCAGCCAGACTTAAATGTTTACATGCCTTTATGTCCCACAGCCGCTCTAATTACTCGTTCATAATTAGTTCTCCATTTGAATATGAAATAATATTATGAATGCAAAATGTAAATCACAACCAGCACACACATACATCGTTCAGCTGTAAACTGTGGCTGATCTATTTGTGGCGTGCATGGGCTGCGTCCATAACAGTAAATGTCACCGTGCAGCCACACACAGCTATATTCGAATAACACAAATATGCAGGTTGTTTTTTTTTGTTTTGTTTTTTCCTAATCTATTTTTCCTCCACTTCTCCGGCACTGAAATCAACAGCAATCCATCCCCACAATGTGCCCCCAGACAGGGAGAACATAGTCTCTAATCTATTGCTTGCATGACTCATAGCAGGTGTTGACAGGCCCTAAGCATCTTCGTTTTGCAATGATTAATGAGCTGGCTCAAACGCATCCAAAGCACAACCCAAACACTCCGTATTTCACTAAATTCATCGCTCACACCCTGTACCATAATCCCAATATCTTTAATGAACGTGACCATCTACCCCCACATAATTGCCGGTCGACAGAGACATGGGAACAGTGCGATAACTGCAGAGCCTCCGTGCCACAAACTGTGCTTTCACAGGAATATTCAAATTCTATCTTTTACAATCTTTCTTCTTTGATGTCATCTAATGAAATCACCAGGAGAATCCATTTGTCGTCCTGCTCCCATGACAGCCTATTAAGACCCGGAGCTGCGAGAAGTCTCAGCAAACAGCCATTTTTTCCTACTTCAGTGGCACCTAATGATTACTAATTATGACATCAAACTAGTCCACAAGTCACCATGTGAACGGTTATTAGAAAGCAAGGAGGTGAACTCTCTCACAGTGCCTTTGCAGATCACATCCCTTTTATTGATATATTCCTTCGCTCATTGATACTTAGAGTGTTTCTACAAAGGATCATAGGAAAAGGCTTTAATCACGGCACTGTAAATCACGGACGCAAATGGGTCGTCACTTGGCTCATTGGACTCAAAGGCGGAATAATAAAGCCATGTGCTGGGGATTACATTATATACAACCATGTTTTATTGCATCAGCAACACGAGAAATATATCAAGGCAACTCCGCCAGCCCGTGCCACAATGTAAGATCTATTCTCTGCAGCTCCTTCCTCAAATAAAGACGCCGTTTGAGGCATCAATCAGTTCCTGACACTGAAAATCCCAGAGCAGCCGTTGTGCACGGCTGCAGCAGTCGGGCAGGCCCTGTTGGCAGTGTGAAGCAAGAAGGCTGAATTCCTACTGACAGGACCATTAGAGATTGTTACACCTGTCTAAATCATCCCCCCTGTAAAAGATTATCCGTATTGGAAGCCACTCAGGAGAGGAGGGATTCTTCCCTCCAGGAATCAGCCGGGGCAGGCGTGACAGAGGCACTGACAAGCGGACTATTTCACGGAGAGCTGTGGATTCCGTCCAGTGCTTGACGGCTTCCGAAATGATAAATGAACTCCGGCTTGCATATATGCACAGATGACGAACTAATGATAAGAAAGTGACTGATATGACGGTAGAAAGACAGGTTGCTCAGGTGTGGAGAAAGCAAGTTAGACAGATAGAATTTACAGATTGGGGCTTTTTATGCCGTGTTCTCACGGTAAAGACAGTTAAACCCTGTTTGGAATGAAGAATGTGAGCCAGAAACGGCTAACTTTTTAAACAATAAGCATCCGGGTGTACTGAGAAAGGAAACTGGTTAGTTAGCTCCCATTGTCAGCTTTTATTGTCTCTGTTTTGTTTTTTCAAAGCATAATTGGAGAATGTGAACCCTGAAACGATGCTATTCTGACTAAAACTGATGTTTCAAGGTATGCCAAGCCTAATTGTGAACGTTGAAACTGAAACTTCTCAGGTTGGAGTTGTTTGACACGACGAAAAGCCTCGTTGTCATGGCCCTGATTGTTTTTAGCATGACTTAACAGTCAGGAAACCGGACTGCGCATACTCTTACTACTTTACAAAAACCCACTTCAAAACAGCTAAAACATTCAAATGAGCCTTTTAGCACTGTAAGCTGATATTTATCGGCTCATATAGTGGTGTCATTTGCAACTAAAACCAATAGATAATGTGAAAATTCTTGCACAGGTGCTCATGTTCCTCCATTATCTCTGTCTAAGAATATTGCAGCCTTGTGAAGAATGTTTTTTTTTTTAATGGGTTGAAATTCTCAGAAGGGAAGCGATGGAGAAGAACAGATGCGATAGGCCGTTCTGTTTGTGTTTGAATCACACCACCGAGCGAAGGATCTGATAATAAACTATTCCAAATGCTGCTAGAATCTGATTCTGGTTTCTTGCTAAGCCAACCGTTTGTTGTGGCTACTTTAATTTAATATTTTCAAATATATTCAGCAATGTGTCACTATGCTGATAATAAGGATTTCTTTCTACATTGATTTTTTTTTCTTTCTGGCCTACTGTCAACAGCCATATCTAACAATTCGTTATGAGGATTATCAAATTAATTTAGGAGTTAAGTTGCTTACTCTACAGTTGGATGTTAAACTCTGGAATAAGAGCAGTCAATCCTGTGCGGGTTGCATCTGTCGAGGTCTCTTTGGGCCCAGATGCCATCTTCTTTTAACTGTTTTTGCCTCATCTCCATAGCAGTAAAATGTATTTAATTTCTCTATTCATGCTGTTTTTTGTCCCCCTGATTGGTTAAAGCTGATTTAATATCTCATCTGTTATAGACATGGGAGAACTCCTTCTCCTCCAACAGTGGTCATAACCAGGATACTTTTCCAGACCAAATTAAGCGGGTCTTTGATTGACGTATATTTTTACTGGGTCTTATTGTCCTTCCTGGTGGTTCTTCCTGCTCCGTTGTCATGGCGAATCATCCTCATCTCGATCGCTGGGGGTCCATAACTGCAACCCTACGGCTGGAGTGTGGGCCCTGGCCTGCCCTGACGGGGTTGGTTGCCGGGGGCGACGGCTCCTGTGGTCATGGGTGGTGGACGGATCCCCAAGATGGTGTTTCATCACAGTAGTGTAAGACTGGTTATAAGAAGGTGGTAACTTGAGTTTAGACGGTGGGGTGGCAGGGGGACGGGAGGCCATATTGTGTGTGTGTACAGTGTTTTGATGTGCTTTTAAATGTGTTTTTATGTTAAGCACTTTGTGTTACTTTCTGTATGAGAGGTGTGTTTGAAAAAAGAAAAATTGAATTGCATAGAAAATTGGTGCCACAGTGAGAACACAGTCAGTTTTTAAACTTTAGGAAGAGAGAAAAAAATTTAACATTAAAACCATCACCAATAGCTCTAACAGTGGTGAAACAGTTCATCAAACAAATTTCTCTTTTACCACCACAGCGAGGATTTAAAGTGAGATATGGAGAAAAAAAAAGTGTCTTAGAGTTAAACCAAGTCCAAGAAGTGAAAAAGTGTACCGCACCGACTCTGTAGTTTATTAGTTTTCTGCTTTCTTTCCTTGTGAGGCAGAGATAAGGAGCCATCCATCTTGGCCCGCTGTCTGTGACCTGAGGATTCCATTATGGCCCGAACAATATGCTCAAGGTTTACATCGAACCGCAGACAAAGGCACTGCCAAAGAACCAATTTCCTCCTACCTTCATGAATAGGGAATCTCATTCATCTTCCTCTGTTCACGTTTAGAAAGCCAGAAAACAACTGAATGGAGACCCATTATCAAGCTGTCTATGGCGCCTCAGCAATGAGCCAAGCACCAACACGCGCTGTTGGGAACACATCTTTTGTGCCGTTTGTCAGATGCAAAACTTCCTAAATAGAGCAGCTTGGATTGATTGCATTGACTTCTGCAGCTTAAAAAAAAACTTAAATGTTAGTCGTCTGCGGCAAAAAAAAAAAAAAAATGTGTGCGCGTGCAATAAATGACTTCCTATATAATTCAGTAACGCCAAAATGGAGTGTCCCGCCGACTGCCTTTGAGAATAAAGCCCCGCTGCTCCCGGATCACCTCCCACTGCTACTTGAGTGACTTTCCACCCCTCCATTCAGCAGTTATTCATTCACAGCTTAAGCATCATCCACTCTCATACGGCCTTTTTCACTCAGGCAGTAGAATAATGTGAAGTTGCGCGTTTGTCCCACTCTGACAAAGATTTTGGTGACTTTTGAGCATGTCGTGTCCTTCCTCGTTAACAGTCGGTCACTGTTCGGCCTCCACAGAGCCGCTTTGATGCAACTGAGGGAAGAATTCGTGATTTTGCCAGACTCCCCACTTAAAGGGCAAAAAAGGCAGCGAGACGCTTGGCTGCTTCAAAAGGGCTCTGTCTTTTAACCCGAAAGAGCTGCTCTGACTAGTCCCCGATAGTAAAAAATAATTAATTTAAAGCTGTCAGTCGTTCAAATTTGATGATAGCTTGGCTGGCTTCTATTCCACTACAGCCGTTGAGCGTGTCTGCTGCGACTCTGTCTGCACACAGTAGTTTGTGTTGTTAGTGACCATTCCTACAACCGGTCTGTGTTAATGAGGCAACCCCGGGCGTTTTGATAGGACAACAAAAACCGTCTTGAAATAATCATTGCTCGCGCCGCTCGGATTCGTGTAATCAAGAAGCTCATCACCATGTGTTAAATGCATTATTATTTCATGATGTAACAAACCTGGTAATCAAGGCTTGCTGTTATCGCCTGACGGGCATGCAGGAGTGGTGCCAAATAGGATTTCTTATGCAATTCAGCTCAATTTGGCTTGGATTATTTCTCACTTTGAAGTCCAAACACTCTCTAGGCAGTAAGGGCAAATACAAGGGGCTCTGAAAAATCCACACAGCTGGCGTTGTGGCCTGTGTTTTTAGCTCTATAAGGGCCAAAACTAGCTTGAAAAATCCTTGACTTAAGGCCTGCACTTAAAAGCCAGAACCGAAGCTCTTCCGGCAGAACGTTGCATTATGCTGCGAATGTGGTTTTAGTGGATCTGTTGGATCATCGTTTTCCAGATGCCGCTGTAAAACGAGGAGGCGATTCGACGACGCAGCCGACTTCAGAACACAGCACCGAAACACTAGGCCGCCGACCTGAGGACACATAAATCACAGGCACACAACAACTGTCTCGTGCCCCACTGAGGCATGACTGAAGGATGGCTCGGCGGAAGATTTTGAGCTTGCTGGGCCGTGAGATGCCACGGTGATTATTCTCCAAAGCATGGGAAAATAAAACTGTCAGGCCGCATGAATCATAATTAATTGGACCAGCTCTGGTGTAATCATCGCATAAATTGAAGAATCCATTTCTGGAGAAAAAAAAAAAAAGGGAAAAAAAGTGCAACTACTCGGGCTCTGTAATTGATGGCTTTTCTGAATGCACCTCAGGCATTTAATCATCCGTTGTAATGGGCTGCATTACTCAGGAAATGAATAAAGTAATGGGAATCTACTTAGAGAAAAACTACAACAATTACAAAACTAATGAACTTTCCTCTGTGTGATGCAAGTTCTTGCTCAAGCAACTCCTTGCATGGAACAGCGGAGAGAAAACGCGGTTGTAAACACAATGCTTGCCAACTCAATAAGACAAATTCTACTCGCACACCAAGAAATGTATTCAGCCGGTAGTAATGTACAAGATTTATAAAGCTGAGCAGCTTTCAATCCTCTGGATAGGTTTACATGGCTGAACAGATCTGGACAGCGTTCAAACAAATACAGCGGGGTTTTAAATAAAACAGAGCTCACGGAGAAAAAAAAAAAAAGAAGAAAAAAAGAGATGTGAAGGGGTACAAAATGCCAAAAATCAAGAGTCAAGTCAACATTAAACAGTAACAGTTCAACTGGGGTTTGTAAAATATTTAACGTTACCTTAGCAGAAAAAAAAAAGGATTAACACTTCCAAAGCTCATATTAGAGACCATATCTGTAAAAAAATCACCTGCACTGTACACAGTAATGCAGATCTTACACAATAATCATTTGAATGCTCAACGGACTTTAAGAGCGTGGAGAAATATATGAGGGAAAAAAACAAACAGAATTTCTCACGGCCTTTCATCTTCTTTCATACTGAGACAAAAAATAATGACAAAAATCTATTTTTCTATGGTGGACTTGAACAGCACACTTTCACTGAGCAATAGAGACTGATGCAAGTGCCCTCTCATCCTCTAATGCGAGGCAGACCTGGCCTCCAGCCGCTCTCACTCCTTCCTGCGCTTCTTGTCGTGGTAGTCGTCCTTTGAGCGGTTGCTGGTGGACGGCCTCTTAGAGCTGCCGTGCTGCTTGGCCTGCTCCAAGAACTTGTCCAGGCCGAAGGGATCTTCTTCGAATTGGACCGGGCCTTCCCGCCTTTGATTGTGGTCGGCGCCTGAGAACTCCTTATCTGGAGCGAACCTGAAGAGAACGATCGGTTCTATTAGTTCAAACCCGTGTCTCTTTAAGCAGATCCACTGGAGTTGACTTTGGTTTGAGGGGGTTTTATTGACTGATGTTATTAAAACATTCCAAAAAGAGGCCCAGATGTCTAATTCTCTCTTTTTTTGTCAACGTTAAATCACTTCAGACAGTTTTAACTATGTGGAACATTTCCATCTTATATGGAGCCAAGATGGCACGTCATTAGAGGTGAAACAAAAAATATAAATAAATCAATGAAATGTAATAAAACACAGGACGTTAAGGGTTAATCGTCTGCGTTGTGCTAAACTAAGTTCGAGAACTCCATGGCTCTAACTGGAATTAGCCTTGACGGGAGAAAAAAAATAATCAACTCCTTTATTTTTCACTGGTTTTTGGGATGCATTTACAAAACCAGAACCACACTCGATGACTACATAAACTCTCTTAGAAGTGTTTCAATAGTGAGTTTTAGTGTAACCCTGGAGAACACCAACAACCAAAATGAGCTTTCTTTTTTTTTTTTTAAGTGAAGAATGACTATACCTGTTGTTTCGCATGAGGGAGTCAAAGTCATCTGTGTAGGCGTCTTTGTCAATGTTCTTGCTGGGCCTGTAGATGTTGGAGGCCATATCTTTTCCACTGCGGAAGGGCTGGTCGTACACATTGTAGGTCTCATCTTCACCACCAGCAAATCCACTATCCATACCCTAAGACGAAAGGCATGGCAGAGGGAAAATGAGCTAGTGCTGTGTATAAAAACATAACGCAATCCAACAGCTGCAGCCTTTAAGTGTTTTTAAAAGCCGTCCGCCATGTTTGATAATGCAGGACAGCCTAAAAGACCGGAGTCCTCTACACTGAATGAACCCTGGAGGGTGAATCCCCCACATAGTGTCCCCCGCTGTATGCATTCGTATGAGAAGCCGCCTGACCTTGCTCTGGTTGAAGAGGCGCTGGTCGTACTGAGCCTCGCTGGAGGAACGAGGGTTGGGTTTGCCCAGGGCGATGAGCTCACTGATGTCTCTGTCCTGATCTCTCTGCAGCTTCGACCTGGGAGAGAAAGGAATCAGGAGTGACGAGTTATAAAAAAAAAACCCCATCAGAAATGGCATGAAAACACAAACATGAATAGTTAAGAGTTTCAATTGATGCAAACATTAAGTAAAGGTATTAAATGTGCCATTTTAGTTTTTCCTTGTGCACTCTGTGACTTTCAGATCGTCCTTCTGCGAGCGGCCTTGTTTTATTGACTGAGCTCTGTGCTCTGTGACAGCTGGAATGGTGATTGTAATCAGCTCGCGGTCCTCTGGGGACCCCCCCACCCGTCCCATCCCACCTGGCAACGCACACGGGGACCGATCGCCCATCACAAATACACCAACTGCAGGCGGGGAGCTGCTGGAATACTCTGCCGGGGTCGGCATTACGGCTGTCCCCATAAATGATTCAGCGGCGCAGGTGTGCGACGAGAACGTGCGTTTGTGGGGTGGGGGTGGGGGCAGCTGGGTTTACATGTTCAGTGTTTAAAACGTGCGTCCGGCACCTCTTATCAGGAGCAGCTCTGGAAATGTTCCTGTCGTGCTGTCGTTCTTTTATCCTGTCGTGGCGGATCATGTCCCGCTTCCTGGCCTCGCCGTCCTCGCCACCTGCCACAGGGGGGGTGAGGGGAGATGTGCAAGTGAAGGTTAAAAGAAGAAAAAAAAAAAGGAGGGGAAATATATAATGTCAAAGGGAACAATTCATGACAGAACAATGACAAAGTAATGGAGAATAATGTTTCTGCAGTATCTGTAAATCTGTATGTACACTGACATAAAAAAAGAACGACCTGGGAAAGCTTTCTTTTTTCCTTTTGGGAAAATAAAGTGGAACAAAAAGCCACTCGCAGCTTTCTGCTCAGTGAAATTGTCACCGCTTTTGGTGGCTGTGACAACCTCACGTTTATGCGCCACAAATGAACACGCTGGTCACAGATGAATATGAAATAAAACAGCCCCTAGCCCCTGTTCCCTTGTTTGTTTGCTCTGATTCCTCAGCTCTCACCTTTGTCACCGTGGCTTTTGATCCCTGCCCTGTGGTCTCGAGCCATCTGTGCCAGCTCCCTGAGTTTCTCCTCTTTCTTCTCCTTCTCCTTTTGAGCCATCTTCTTCTCCACCTGGGCTCTCATCTCCACAGCTTCCCTGGCCTGAATGCACAATCAACATTCAAATGAAAAAAAAAGAAGAAAAAAAGAGTGAGTAAAATAAAAACTTATTTGACAAAAAAAACGTAGCGTTTCAAACACCCTTGAACAATGGCTCTACCTTTCTATCAGCAATATAAAGGGCCTCGGCCAGCTTGGCAAAGTTCTCATTAATGTGAACCGTTTGCAAACCCCTTCCATCAGCAGCCAGACGTTTGTCAAGAGGAATGGTGTAACCCTGGAAAAAGAAATAAAATCATCAGAATTTTTTAACTTAAAACAAACAAAACAACAACTTTAAATCTCCATATGCGTGACATCTAAAAAAAAAAAAAAAAGAAAAGAAAAAAACAGACAAATAAAAAATCTCCTCTGGTGAAACATTACCTTTGCGTTCTTCCAGTTGGAGATGCATGGAGGAATCTTCCACTCCTGCTGTTCCTTCACCGTCATCTACGACATCACGAATAATAAAAAAAACATCAATCACGGCACAAGCCAGCTCCCATAATATGCATATTTCAGCCAACTCTACCTTTCTACTTGGAGAATGCATGACCGGGGCGGGTGGAGAAGGAGGTCCTCGAGGAATTTTCTTGTTGATTCTGAAAACACACGTTCATCACATTCATCTCCAGCCTGAATGAGCTGGCCTTCATATTCTAGGCGTTCAGGAATCATTATGGGAACGCTATGTGGGTTAATTGAAAAGGTAAAAGCCAAGTCAAACGCGGCAGCCTTTTAAGAGTCGGGTTTAGGTGGATAAGAGCATCTTCATATTCCTCTTTACACACATTTCCCCTACAATCCTCTTGTCAATTCACACTGGACAGCATTTAAGGCTTAATTTTAAAAGACCGTAAAAGAAATAGACGTAAGCTCTTATTATTGATCATGCTTTAGAGCTACTTTTATTGGGATGTGTTTACTTACTTAAAACGAGGCGGTTCCATGGGGTCTTTCTGCATTTCCACCATACGGATGACTCTCTGTTTGGCCCCTGAATTAAAAGCCACACCCTGCTGGGAAGGGGTGTATCTAGAAGACACAAAGCATACATCTTAGCATCCTTTTTTTGTGTGGAGGGGAGAGTATAACTTCGCCGCTGGTTTTTTGTTCATAAATGAAAAATGGCGCCGTAAGTGGTCAAACCCATACCTGATGTACTGTGCGGGGGCTTGTTTGTCTGCTGCTCTTACAGGCATGGCGGCAGCAATCTTCTGAGACACTTGCTTTTCCAGAGCGGCGCGGGTCTTCTCTGTCAGCTACATGTAACAACCACAACCATTGAGATTTAATCCTAATTACTGTTCAAACAGATTATAATAAAACCAATGCATGAATGGACAGCTGTCAAATCCACTCCATCTGTGATAGTTATAAAAAAACACCCTCTTTCTTAAAAAGTAAATACTTATTTTTGTCTCCTTAAGACTGAGACTCCCTGAGCTGCCAGGCTAATTTCAGAGTTTTGCAATGTCTCATTTAGTCCGTACAAATAGAGAATGATAGATTAACACAAAACTAGTCAAATGTGCTGTTTTTGATTATACTAAGACTTGGCATTTATTTAATCCCCAAACTAAAAGCCATGACAACAGCTAAAAACAACATGCAATCAAGTCATTGAAGTGTTTGTTTTGTTTTTCACCTGGCACTGGCATGAGTAGCTTACCTCTTGAACTGCCTCCTCATCAGGTTTCCGTAGTTCCGAAGCATCTTCATTAAGAACTTCCTTTGGAAGTAGGTCGGTGTACTTACTGAAGATCACCTGCAAAAAATTTAAAGAGAATAAGAGGGCATATAAGAATTATGTTAGTCTAAAAGCAAAAATTAAGGAACAAAGCTCAAATGTAATATTTTCATGAAATCTACAAGCACATGGTATACTTAAAGGCATTTGCAGTAGTGTCTCTGGTTGTGTCTGAGAGAAAAATCATCTTAACCAAAAGTGAAGTTGGCTTTTAGTGTTTGAGTAAAAGTCTGGGTTTTTAATGAAAACAAAAGAAATACGGAGGATGTAAATTGAGTCTGCACAAGCGGTTGTGTCAAAGCAAATACCTTATCTTTTCCCTGCCCTTGTCTGGCGATGGCATCATATTTAACCTTTCCTTCGGCATCCACCTGCACTGCCAGGGCGTTGGACGTCTTCTTTTTCCTGCCCATCTCCAGAGGAAACTGGGCCACATGGATTTCTGGGAAGGCTCCTCCATCGCCAAAGTCCTACAGAAACAGAGTTTTCATGAATTTAGGCGACATTCGTATTTCTATTTCTGTGGATCGTACTAGACCAAATACCAACAATGACTAGTGCCGTCAATCATTGGGAACGTAGTATTTACCTCAAGTGTGCGCGGCACCCAGCCTTTTCGGTGTCCGTACGGAGGAGGCTCTTTGCGGGACGCAACCAGGGCGGTGGAGTAAGTCTTCTGGGCCCGGAGCCTCTCCTCTGCCTCCAGCTGGTCTTGCGACAGCTGAGTCGGCACCGGTAGAAAACTTGACACACAAAAACAGATTTCTTATTGGTCCCATTATTACTTCTATTGCACAAAAAGACGTTAGCCTAAGTAGCATTAGCCGCTAATGGCAACGATTAGCTAAACCAGAAGAGTGACAAACGCGCCATATGAACATAACCGTGACCAACACGTGTAAACTGTGATTGAAGTATTTCATTATTAAAGCTTATATTTACAACTCTAACATGCAACGATACAATTACATAATGGATTAAATGCCGCGTGCGGTAACTAAATGTTTAACGGTTAGCTGACACTTTAAGTAGCATTAGCTAATACCGTCAACTCAGATTAAAACGAAAGACCCATAGCAGGAGAATAGAATAGACATTAAATGTTAAACTTGATATATAAATCGCACAATACGTAGCGAAAACGCAGTCACGTTACAATTTAGTCGATTTTGAACTCATAAGGCCTAGTTGAGGGACTCACCTCGTCAGAGACATATTTACCCTTTCTTCCTTAGTGAGCAACTGGGCATGCGCAGGTTTTGGGCAAAATGACGTAGTATAGACGAGAACCGGGAATGTCCAAGAGTGTGCGGACGATGGTTTCTTTGGTTTTCATGTTTGGCATTTCACGTTCTAATGTATTACTTCTCGGCCTCCTCACCTTAACCTGTATTATTGTATGTTAAAGAATATTGTAATCTAAATGGGATGGGATCTTTTTTAATATTCTGATTGGTTTTTTTTTTTTATTTACATTTGACCAGTTCTTCACAATCTTTTATCCACCAAATTTTCTTATAATGTTTTCTCTGTTTACTTTTAATATTTTGTTAAGCTGTTTCTGTTATAGCATCATGTAAATAAATGTTCAAATATTCTATATATTGCTTTTTTTTTCACTTCTGATTTGCATTTGTATCAACTCTACAAAATACCTATCTATTTAATCTATGTTCCTTTTTTTGTATGTTTAACGCTATCTCAGATTATTAATGATAAATGTCACTACCTGCTGTTCTTTTCTCTCATTTGTGTCGTCAACTCCAATACCCATGTCAGAGCTATAACGGATTCATTTATTTTTCATATCTCATTTTATGTGCCAGTTCCATCATTGAGACAAATTTGTTTTTATCCTCTTGTATTTCTTCAATTTCTTCTGAATTTTTATCGTGGTATCTATTCTATGATACTCTGTGAGCATTGAGGTCACCACAGCAAATACCTTTCCTGTTTAAATCCGGAATTAGTTCCTCCACTGATTCAAATATAATCTTCTTGCAAGGATTATAAAAGTTTATTAATGTAATCGTTCCATCGTTTGTCCAAATTTCCACTAAATGATTTGAAATCCTTTGCCTTTCCGCAACACTCTACATTGTGGATGTAGTTTTAAAGACATACAACACTCTCCCTTATCTTCTTCACTATCTTTTCTCTCTGTGCTATCAAACCAATCTACACTAAAATCTCATTCTGATTTTGTCCACATTATTTAGACGTATACAGAAAGCATTGAGATTTCTGACCGATACCATCAAGTCTTTTCTCCACAATTTTGGATGTTTTGTTTGAACTGTACAGATGATCACATGAGTAGAAAAAACAGCTTGTCTATGATAAGGTTTGGTCCATATTATTCTCTTTTTGTCCCAGTATTCGTTAAGTTTATCTGTTGTAACTTTTAAACTTTTCCTTTTTCTGTTGTGGTTCATCATTAGAGAGGCATTACCTTCCTAATATGAAAACACTAATGTTTTTTCAACACATTTACTACTACTTAGCTATTGTAGCTAATTCTCATTAGTCTCATTAGTTCTCATTCTCATTAGCTGCTATTTCAATACATACGCTCTACACAAGTTTCACAAGTCAGTACATTTCTCTGCTTAAAGTAAAGGACATTGATGAATGGGCTTGTGAAACCTCCTAACACTGCCTCGATTTTTCTGTTTTTACCAACAGAATTGATTCATGCTGCTGTAACGGTAAGTTAGTAGGACAAACAGAACAGATTGTCAAACTGGATCCTGTTTAAAACAGCCAGGAGAAGACCTAGATCTGTTTCAGATTATTGACCAAGTCCCTTTATTAGAAACTGGCCAAATGAGTTTTGTCAGTAAAGAGAGGTGTTGTTTAAAGTCATCTTAACAGACTCTGCTGTTGTGAGGAATGTGATGAATATCTTGACTCTGACTATTGTGAAATAACCCTGCTGTGAAAGACCGGTATGCTGCTGTTCTCTGTTTTTTGTCTTGGCAGTCATTGACTGCTTGCTTTTTTTTTCCTCCGTGGAAGATCCAGCCTGTCAGTCTCTCAGAAGAGAGATAGTTCATTGATATGACATGAGGTAAAAGGACACGTCAGAGGAGATCAATCACTGGACTGTGGCACGGGACAAGAAAGCTTTTAATAAACCCCATCATTGTGGTGCTTCTCTCTTTTTAAAATGTGCTTGGCATTTAGCGCCGAGGAGCCTGACACCATCATGCTTCCTCTCTCTGGACATGCAGGATCGAGAATATTGATGTAGAGGAGATTTTTTTTCACCGTTCAGCGGAACTGTCCCTCCAGTGACTTTGTAAGTTAGACTTAGACATGAGCGTTTCCTGGAAAATGAGGGGGCAAAGTTAACAATTAATTTTTTTTGTGAGACACAATTATACTTTTGTCTTACTTGTAAGACAGAAGGCTTCGATGACTGACTGTCTTTCCCAATAAGAAATCATCAATCAAAAGTCTTTAACAGAATTTGGCAATTAAGGATGAATGCAACCGAAAAGGCTAATTCTCTTTTCCTGTACATTGGCATTTAGCGGAATGCACTTATCGTCTTAAGGAGGTCATCACAAAGGGGCTGCCGCGGAGTGCTGCTGGCGCTCTCTCTTAATACGAGGTTGTTAAAAAGGCGCTTTGATGCAAGCTGACATGGAGGTAGCACAGCTACTGGCTCTGGGTGCTCCCGGCAACTGCAGTGAGAGTGGGGAGGGTGACACATGCCCTGAGATTCCTCACTGTACCACGTCTGCAGGGTTACACCAGGGCCAAAGCCAGCAGGACTCAAGGTGGCAAAGTTGAATAAGAGCAACAGCAAAAGACATATCACAGACCAAAGCAGGCACGCGCATATCTCAATGCTGTGAACTCCTCATGCATTTCTTTATTACAGAATGCGCATGCACATAGGCATGCTTGTTCATGCCTTCAGGATATGGCGAGCAACTAGTTGCCTTGAAAGTATGCTGGGTTCTTTTGAAGAGTCACGGGGAGTATTCTTCTTGTGATGCTGCAGACTTTTTATTTACTGTCACGGCACATTTGTTTTGGTGTCATCTATTAGCGTGTAGCTTTGAGGAGGTATTAGATTTGATAATAATGGACAGTGGCAGCTCCTGCGGAGTTCAGCACTTTTGCTAATTAAGGTTATGATAATTACCTTAACCAGCAAATGTCTCATTGAGATTAAAGACACCTTTTGAGTGTCACGGCCAAGACCATGGCAGCAGCACAATTTGACAAAAGAAAACAAATCTAATGTAAAAACTAAAGTTAAATGAGAATGCAAACGTCAAAATGGATAAGAATTATTTAGATTGAGCTGTGACTGAAGGGGATTTGTGGACTAGCACAAAAACAGGGGAAAAAGCTTTTCAAGTTCCTCCTGCTTCTCTCAAACTTTCTAATCAGGTAAAATAGCTGTGATCTGATTTGGAAGAAGCTCCTGAGTGATTGCAAGTGACACAGATGGCTAATCCAATAAGAAGTCCTGGAAGTTTTGGAAAGTGCTCGCCCTTTCCCAAAGAGTTTCAAACAACCAATCTGAAGATGCATCAACTAACCAGCCCTGGCAGCGTAACGGTGGCTGAAGGACAGGAAGTTTAAAACCCTTTTATTTCATGACTTTGAAGCATTTAAAACTTCTTTGAATAAAGTCTTGATATTTGGCAGACAGAAGTACAAAGGAAGATGACCAACTTTACTTTGATGTCAATAAAACATTCCAAAAAGTTTATATTGCAAAATATCTAAAACAATTTCATGCAAATTAATAATAAAAAAGTTTTATAATAACCCTTCTGATGTTAAAAAACTTTATTTAAGTGTAAGTCGGCTGTCAATAAATCGTATTTACACTGGGTTGATGCTAGCCTATTTGTAGATGGCTACAAGCTCAATATAGACTGATACTGATGACTATATCTGCACATCATGTAAACCCAAAGACTCTCTCTGCATTGGAAATATATGCACCCTAGTAAGTTGTATATTAAAAGTTGTGTTCTATGTTCCAAAGAACGGAAAGACGGTCCAGACTATTATCAGCTAAATGTGCCAAAGCCAGCACTGATGTTGCTTTTGGGTTAGGCATGATGGGATATTTGTGATACATACTGATGATATTTGGCAGTATTCTGCCATTTCTAGAGACATTTGGTCTTTTTCCAGGTACTGTGTGGTACCAGACCTAATATGACACAGACTGTGCATGCTCTGCTGTCTTGCCCACAGTTCAGATCTGTCTCCAAATGAGGGAGGGCTGCACGTCGTAAACAGTTTAAAACCTGTTAAACATCAAAATGATGACCCTGGTTTTCCCTAACCGTGTATGCTTGCGTTATTTGTTAATATTTTCTAGAAAAAAGGAGTTGGTCAGGGTTGTTTGACAGGAGCAACAGCATGAATCATTTTTATCCATGGAACCTTTCTGGAAAAGCTTAATATAATAAGCTGGGTAAACTCAAAGCAGTTCAAACTAATTCAGCACAATATTGTAGTCTGGAAATATAACCAATTAACTTTCTCAATGGTGTCTCAAAGTTTGAAACAACATTGTGTCACATATTGTGTTTCTTGCTACCAAGGGATCAATTTCCTGAGATGACACCCTGCCCACCTTTGAGGTGGAGGTTGAGGTTGACCCACTGGTGACGGTCGAAATGCGACACAGGGCATGCCATCATCATTGCAAGGAAAGTGACTTTAAAAACTGAGCTCCTTCCTGCTTGAAATCGTTCAAATCAAAACGCTAACAGGTTAAATGCGAGGCTTTAAATGTGAATAAGTTTAAAAAAGGCAGAGATGGAGAGAACAGTAGGAGCCTTTTTGTCTGCTCTTAACCAGAGAATGAGAAATGAAAATAACTCAAAGTGGGTCAGCAGACTGCCGGCTCTCTGTACAGCGAAGGCACACACACACACACACACTCACTCACAAACACACACACACGCTTGCACACATATTTGCATGCATAATATGCATGCACACGCTCAAATTGAGATACTCCAGAGGACATTTACAGCGGGAGGCATGGCGCATTTGACAAAGTGTGGCAGTCCCAGTGTGGCACTTTGTTTATCTATTGCTGCACTGCAGTCGGCCACATGGCTTTTTAAAAAAAAAATTGTGTCACTTTAGATTTCGGAGGGCAGTTAGGTTGTCCTAAATGAGTGTACGTTTATTTTCATTTACGTCCTACGTCTTACACACTGAATGTT